CTATTGTAGAAGATCTGACATTAATCTATGTGAAAACAAAAAAACGCAAAGATGCCATTTTACAATAGTTTCAGAAATAGATGGAACAGAAAAAGAACGGTAAAAAAATGACATACCACTGCTTGAGCATCACTTGGTACAAGTTGAATAGCACTTGGTGGCGGTGATGGAAGGTGATGTACAACACTTGTGTGCATCAAAGTAGGCGGTGGAGGCGGGAGTTCCTCATCCTCGTCGTCGATGGAGAGCAGAGCCAAATCCGGAGGTGGAAGTTCACGCTACGATAGAAACGATAAGGTTTTGTATCCGAAATAGGTAATGATACGCACCTTTAATTCCTTGACTGGACTGACCACAGCTCTTTGGCGGCTTTCTACAGAGGGTGCTGGTCGATTAGCATTCATCGACGATTGCATGGACGTATTCTGGGGTTGCGGAGGCTAGAAACATACAATCCTATAGTTTCTTCGGATCAAAACAAAAACTGAATCGACACAGAAACGAAATTTCGGTCCAGTAAATCCAAGTAGTACCTGAATGTGCTGAATTTGGCTTGTTTTATGCAACTGCAATCCCAAAGCTTGAGGTGCTTGATACTCATCAGGGAACGATAACGCCGCAGCACGAGGATTCCGCAGTGAAGACATGTACCTGAAAGCGCAAATTTTTATCACATTATTTTCCAAACGTATCTCAATTTTGCTAAACAAAAGCAGATCATTCTCACCTAGCTGCTTGTTGCCTGGGCACTTCTTGATGTTGTGGTGGTACTCGTTGCCTTCGCTTTTTCGGGCTCTTCACAGCAGCTAATCCATCAGGTGTTGGAGATTTGATACGTCTTCTCGTATTATTATCAGCGCAATCCTAAGGATCAAACAAGATTATGTGAAGATGACCATGCGATCAAAGATCAAACTTCAACAAACCTTGAGCATTTCTTGCCTCCATAAATCGAAGAAAAAGGAAGGATTGGTGTAAAGGCTAAGGGCACCGGGAGCTCCAGGATCTCTTGAAAAACGTATTTAAGCAGGTTTTTGACGACTGTATTGAAGTTGCAATGAAATTCAAGCCAAGAAGGTCAAACTTCATAGCTTGACGTCAAATTTCATAAGTTGACCTTTCCTACAGCAAATACTGGGTCGAATAAAATCGTTGACCCGAAAAGTGCAACTATCGTGCGATTTGGATAAACATAATATATGATGAT